ATAATATCAATTCTCATGCAACCCTATTGCATATTAATTTATCATAGGATTATTGCTTAATTGTTTTAAATAAAATATATGTTGTAAAATATAAATTGTTTTAAATAAAATATGTTATTGATTACATTACTGATTGATTATATACAATCGATCTTCATGATAATAATTATTTTTTTCAAATGATATTATGTGTGAATGCAAAATACAAATACAATGAAGAATATCAATTAAATGGAATATAGAGCCGTGTGTACTAAGCAAGAAAAAGAGATTCTTTTGAAAGATTTTAGAATTTTTTTCTGAGCAAAAAAGATTAAGAAAAGAAATAAAAACCTTACATGTACAATTCTTTTGAAAATATTGTTGAAAAGTACATAGCTCATGAAAAAACTTACGGATTTATTCAGAATCTCAGAAAAGTGATATTGTACAAAACGAATTTTGCCGCTTGTGTGAACCATGCAAAAAGCTACCTGCGCACTCAGCAATATGAATAATTAACGTTCAGCAAATTAACCCGTCGAGGTCTAAATCTCCTAGTTCCATAATTATTAATAAAGTTAGTTCATTTAACGCGCCGTAAATTTTATATCGGATAAATTTAAGAGTTCTTTTTTTATATTTTATAATTTTTAATAAAACGCGATTAACTATTATATATTGCTATAAAAAAGAGATACTCTATTATAAGCTTTAATTTTTCTGCTAGCAATGAAAAAGAACTTAGGATATTTTTAAAACAAAATTTTTTTAAATATACATATATATAATTCTATTTATATACGAAAATAATTATAAGACTTTATCTGATTTGCGGAAATAATTATCTCTGTGTGAAGTGATATCGATCAAATTAATTCTACATGCGGAAATGCTTATCATGTTTTATTAAAACCACCAAGATTAGATGAGCAATAAAAAGAATTTTATCAATATTTTATAATAAAATATAATCTTCAATTTTTTGATTGTATTATCCTTCTTATGTTATATTCTTTTTTGAAATTGAAATTGAACTCAAATTGAAAATATTAACATGTAATAGTTGTTATAATGTTTTCTTTGAACTGTATTGATTAATATCTACAATATATTTGTTGTTTTATTGCGCATCTTATTGTAAATTTCAATTTTAATATATGTTACTTGAAATTTATAAAAAATAAAAAATAATTATCACTCACCGATATGATGCCTGAGTGCTTCAGAATTGCTTCGTTTTCGCCTGATGCTTTCTTGGATTTTCTCTTTCTGGTTGGTTTGGTACTTTTTCATGGCACTTACACAACACTCGCGAAAAGATTGTTATTTATGATCACACGAGACTTTATACGATATTCCTGTGGCACGGCGGGAATCTTATTACACACAATAATGATACTAATAAATATATTATACATTCACTATAACATAAGTGCACAAATAAACAAATTAAAATTGAAAGTGAATATCCGCTTATTCGAAAATATAGTTGGATTTGTAAACCATTCGCACAGATTTCGATCAAATAAATCTCGCATTTTGACAATTTATAACGATGTACATACATTAAATTTATGGATATTTATATTTATTAGTTAAATATATCGCTCGACTGAAATCAATCCATCCTGCGTCACTTTATTAACAACCGAAAAATATATGAGAATGAGAGCGACTTTTTATCCTGATATCATACGAGCCGAATTAATGGTCAATTAAGATGCGCGATGAAACGTCAAAAAATACGTAATTCAATATTGCAGTATATATTTCTTAAACGCATATAAATCCTGACAATTTATTTTTATAAAACGAGAATACTACATCACGAATACACATCATTTTTCGATATTTCGATCATTCGTATTACCACACTTCGGTGAAGCATTATTAATCACGTGAAACATCTAGCAAATAGTCATTATCCCGACATATTTGTGAGTCCACTAATCGCGATATTTAATTAATTACGCTGATTATTCCTAATTGTAACGATTGTAGAGCATAATCGTATTTCAAGTGATAATACGCAACGCGGAATTTCACGACGCTACCTGCTTGCTCGAACTTCGTCGCACAAGAAACAAGGTCAGAGCAAGTATAAACAATAGCGCGCTATGCGAAGGCGAACATGAGAATATTTTATACATTGTTTCCTTCTACGCGAAATATTTAACGTACGACAGCATAAATATATGTGAAAGATTCTATTCTTTTAAATTGATTATTAAAAACAGATTAATTTATCATAATCTTTTTTTACTTGCATCTACATGTATTATTACGCGTTCTCAATCCTCAATTAATTGACATATTAAATCTCTGAAAATTTTTAAAGCGAAATATATTCGAACGAAAACATCGTTAAAGAAATTATGACATCCGTAGAGATGATAAGAAAATAATAATTCGTAACTTGTAATTCTATATCGTTTTGACTTACAATTAGAGTTGAAATATACATTTTAAATCGTTTGAAAATGAAATAACTACTTTAACTATTAATTATCGCTTCGGTTTAAAAATCGATACTTTAATTGTTCGTATAAAACAATCGCATTTAGTATTTGTCGCGATCATATTTCGACAGATAATACGATGAAGCACGGAGCGGATCACATGTTGCTCATTTGACTCTCATTGAGCGACTGATACGGCAAGTAAATATTAGCGCTGTATACATACCTCGCAAAGTTCGATATTTGTTTGTATTATGTCGCGTCTTATTAGGAGTAGGGGGATGAGAAGTCTAACAATTATTCCTTACACAATTATTCTCTCTGCAATTGATCATTCAAGAATATAGAGGCGTCGGCTTTTATCAAAGTAGTATTTTTCGCGATTTAATTATTGTAATTTTTTCAGACGATAATTATTGTAATTTTTTCAGACCATAATTATGCCTTAAAATATATTTCAAGTCTGATATATCTTGCATCAGTCTCTCTTATTTTTTCATCTACTTAAATATAATATGTCTTATTTTCAGATCGATAGATATTTTCGAGTTATTTATTAAACTCATTTATGTCGCGCAGACATATTTATAAATGTGATATTTTTTTATCAAATGGGACAAATTGTTTTCTTTTTACATGTTACAAACATTGTAAAACTATATTATTTCTTCTATTATATATCTTTTCTCGCAGTTTTGCAATAAGTAGCTTACTTTCGAAATAAAGCAGGCACGAATTTTAGCAGTAGCAGAAGCGAATTTTAAACATTATAAAGCAATAAGTTAGAAATACATATATTAAGTAATGCGGAGTATTGATTTAAGCAAATTTTTCAGAACAGGGTTTATATTGTGAAAATAAATGATTCAAATATATATGATGTTTGATAATATTCTTCGCCACGAGAGTTAAATAATGATTGTTAAATGAAAAGAAGATTGTTAAATGAAAAAGAAAATACAATTGCGTTCTACTTTTCCATATCATTCGAGAAAATAAATTACGCTCATCGATTATTTGAATATTCGTCACATTTTGTAATCCTCTTACTAGGAGAAATTTACGCTCACACACACATCGCATAAGCTATTGCAGAAGAATATTTCCATTAAATTCGTTATTTTATCAAGTCAAATTCGGTCGAAGAATCGATAGCCGTCGTCTACTAAATGATATTCTAGTGAAAACCGATATTTCATGCGTTCCCTTTTCATTATCCTCAAAAATGCGTGTCATATTATGTCAATTTATTCCGATCACCTGAGAAGTAGAATTTGTTATCGAAAATAGTCGATCTATTCGTTCTTGTATAAAAATGAATGAAAAAATCTTTCAAACTCATACATAGCGATTTTCAACGGAATCAATATCTCTGTCGATGCAATCGTGGTTAGTTTTTAATTAAATAATTCTAAATAACAAAAATTACATTTTCCATGACATATTAAAATAGTAAAATTTTATTTAGTCATTTTATTTGTTATCATTATACTTTTACTTTTGTATTAATATTTTTTTATCTTTTATGTTAATATTCTTCCAATAAATAATTAATTTTTATAAATTACCTGCAAGTTTTCATTAATAATTTTTAGAAAATTTGTTTAAAACTTGTTAAAATAATTATCGCGTAATTATGCTAATGCTTGTCTAAATTCTTGTTGTATCTTAAGATTTTTTGACTGAGTATACAAAGTTTTTTAATTATTTGATTTCCTGAGTTTTGCGTCAAAAGGAATCTGAACTTAAAAACAACCCGTTAATTCTGCATACTTCTTAGTAGAGATGTGATGTTATTTCTAAAAAGCATGGATGCCTTTCTTTCGCAATTTTCTTTTCGTAATTTTCATTTTGCTAAGAAATGCAGAGTTTTATTCCGAAATGATGGTTTTTTTATCACGCTGCAAGTTGTATTGAAATGTGTGCAAGTACAATATTATATATGTCGGAAAAATGTAAAACATTTTCTTTGATTGTATAGGGTCAGGATAATTATTCAGTATATTTCAGTATAAATATAATTTTTTTATGATTTAAACAGGATGAATAATCTCAACATTTGTAGATTGTCAAAAGATGCAATATAATTTTCGAATGATTTGATTTTCAATAATCTATAAGCAAATTGGTTACTTTGGTAACGACTTTCACAGGAGTCGATTATCAGGAGATTACAAACTGTTCTCGATATCGGTCTCTCATACCTGTTTGCGTGATACAGGCATGACGTTTGTCCGACCGCAATCGCGGCGATTGGATTAATTGTCTTTGTGATGGCTCGCTGTGTCTCGATTGCGGTTTATCCCATCCTCCATATATCCGATCGTGAATGCTTCTCTGAATTGAGCGATGTAGGTATAACTCATAGATTAAATCGAAGAAGCTGCCACATCATTGTTCACGATTGATATTCCGTTCTATCGATATTCAATATTGTGGCGGAAAAATTTAATATCACAATTTGAGTTTTTTCGATTCACTACTTGTTTTTTTAGTCTTTCCTTCTTTGCAAAATTATGATTAAACATGAAATATGTTTGGTTTGCTTGTTCATTTCAGAGACTACGAGAGCAGCAATATCTTGGACAATTTGCTGTCTCGTATGGAGCAATATGCCACGAATTTAGAAACATTGGTGGAGGAACGTACGGCAGATTATCTCGAGGAGAAACGTAAATGCGAGGAGCTCCTTTACCAGTTACTACCAAAGTAAGTTACATGGAACGTAAATAAAAAGAGAGCTGTCTTAGAAAGAACAAGATTATTCTGTCTGTATTTGTCACGGAGAATTCATTCCGAGTGTACTTTACGTGTTTGGTAGAAGGCTGTAAATATCAGATAATTATATTATACAAACACTTTGGACAAATTTGATGTAGATACCTGATTTGAAGAATATTTTAATGTCTAAAAAGAGAATGAATATTTGAGTTTCATTAAAGCGATTTTACTATTAATAATTTTGCTTGTTTATCAGATTGATTTTAACAAATTGAACAATTAAATTACATTCGAATTTATTGCGATCAGTTCGAATTAATTTTTTATTTGTTTTCGTGTCAGCGTCTGCGGCAACACTGCGGCGTTTTTCTCACGTAAATTATTTATTGGGCTTTATCGGTAGAAATATGTTAATTTAACACTGCACGTAAATTAGCCGGATATAAATCAGGCAACGCACGAAAGCTTACTATACACGAACATTAAACCGCTAATTACTGCAAATGCGAGGAATAATAATCGAGGTATAAAAAAATATCCTTTACATCAAAATGCGAAAACGCGATATAACGATATAAATTAAAACGATAATAAAACAATATAAATTAATGATTGGAGGAATCCCTTCGTGTTCCAAACGTGGTGTAAAATTGTGCGACGGAAATGGCCCGAATATGATATAAATCGACCGGATCGATTTGCTTCAATGACGGAGCATGATTGAACGATAAGAGTTATCGAAAATTGGTCAACCTTGAAATTGAAATTGATTTGGAAAAAATGCGATAAATAAAATAGAAACGCGTAAAGCAATAAGAAAATGGACGGAATAGTTTTCTGAGAGCGCAGTCGAGAAATATAATCCGCGGGACTGCGATGAGATTAATTATACGAGAAATTGCGTGTCGTTTTAATTCATTATATGTATTCAAGGCCGTGCGACGACTAGGATAACGCAAAACACAAGAAGCTTTGAGATGATTTGTTAACACGATGCAAGTGGCATGTCATCCGCATAATTATTATACGGTCGTTATAGCGTAATACAACGCTGGGTTTTCCATTTTTCTGAAAACGTTACGTAAGCAATCGGTGGTCGATCGAGTATACCGTGATATCGATGCGAAAACGTCAAAAACATTTTCTCTTCAAAGATTTTTCTTCAAAGAATGGATATACGCGATGGAAAGAGGCTTTACTCACTTTTAAAATGAGAATATCTCGTTTTACGCGACGCGGTTAAACATACTTTGTGTAACTTTTCGCGAGCAAGTGGGCGAAACCTTAATGAACTTTACGAAGATAAAAGAGACGCACGAGAAAATTTTGTTGAGAGCTTTGGAAACTTTATCATCGCTTGTCCCTTGTGAGTGATAACTCTTTTGTCGAGCGCCAATAATATAGTTAGCGAACCATTCCATCGCATTTAATCGATATTACATTATGATGCATTATTGTGTCGCACAAATCGATTTTTGCGAAATGATTCGAATTGCGCTTTTATGTGATTAATAACATTTTTTTTGTTTATTTTGGTGATATCGATTTTTATTTTTACAGAACTGTACAAGTAGGATCTATATTATAACACACACACACACACAAAATGTATTAATTTTTATTATATCATGTACTATCTATAATTCCTATTAATTTGCGTTAATCTACATATATTGATTTTTTAATCTGGTCAAAGGAAAGAGTATATATGTCAATTAAAACTTTTTCACTGCGTTTTAAATCTAAAATCTAATAGGAACGTGTGGGAAGCGCTAATCTCGCTCATGGTCATTTTTTTAATTAACTTTTGGAAACTCAGTTTTATATCGTGTGTTAAAACCATCATGTGCCATAAAATCAATCTTTTCTACAAAAGTTGTTCGTGAGAAAAAAATATTATGCTTTCCATATCTTAAAAGAAAAAGAAAACAATCGAGTTCACAAAAATTTATTATCAAAATTGAAATGACCAGAGTATTTTAATGCTATAATGTTATAATATCCAAATCATTTTATCACATTAGCCTCCTCGAAATTGTCTATTATTCCTTCGACCTTTTTCCCCGCCGTCTATGAAAGGCACATGTTTGTTTTGCAGATCGGTGGCGTCGCAGCTGATCCTCGGACAAAGCGTAATCGCTGAGACATACGACCAAGTGACAATCTACTTTAGCGACATCGTGGGTTTCACGAGTCTGTCAGCTGAGAGCACGCCTCTGCAGGTGGTCGATCTGTTGAATGACCTCTATACGTGTTTTGACTCCATTATCGAGAACTTCGATGTCTACAAGGTGAGTAGTATTGACTCGCTTTAACCATATCCGGGAGAGCAATGGAAATCATTCGATCCCTTGGTCGAAGGGGTGAATATTTTAAACGGGAGTACAAAGTCACGACATCGCACTGACTCGTGGAATAAACTTTCGTTGGTTCGCACGCGAACGAGGTATCGTCAATGGCACGTGATATACTCGCAATATCCAAGTTTTTCCAGCGTAGTTTTATCAGAATGATGAACAAAGCGTTGATCGTTTCGAGTTTTTCCCGTTCGCGAGTGAATCTGACTTCTTCAATTAGGAAACTTGGTTCCCGCTTCGACGGTTCTCTTTCCCTTTCTTCCGGTCTCTTTTTTTTCTTTATGCTTCTACGCCTTTGCTTTTTTCCGCTTTTTTTCTCAAACTAAAGATCATCAGAATAATACCGCTCGAGCAATATACCGTATTTCTCGTTAAAATCAAGCCTGAGAAATCTTGATTCTATATTTACAAAGTACTCCACGTGGCGTTATTTGGAATTTATCGTGAGATATTCGATACGTTAAGGTCAACGCGAGAAAAATAAAGATAAACACAGTAATTCCGGAAGACAAATTGGCCTTGATTCGAGCGATTTTCTATGAAAAGAACGAGATTACTGCGCGTGGAACTGAGAATCTTTTTATTACTGATAAAATATTCAAGTGCCATAGCGTCTGTGATAAATTAGAATTAGAACGATAGAAACGATAGAAAAAGTATCGCATATGATACATAAAAATTTAATTAAATTAAAATTTATAAATAAGCACGTGTAATATATAATATTTACGTAGGATAAATTCGCAATAATATTTTATCGTGTGAGCGAAAGAATATCTTACATATTATTTAATTAATAAAAAAAGAATAGTTGCATTAAGCGAGTCCGAAAGCACACGGAATTTTTGACCGATAAAAAAACGCTAGTGTCTTAGTTTCAGAGAACATTTTTATAATTTTACAGTCTAAAAAGCACCCCTTAGTGAAGCACGCTAGCCGGTATATGATTATCGTGACTATATATACCTATCCTTCCTACAGCAGCTTTTACCTCTTTTACTTCTTTTTTTTCTACTTACAGATTAAACAAATATTCTCTATTTTTTTAGAATATTAAATATTAGTGTTAATCATAAATTTTTGCTTATTATTCATACTGTCATGTAATATTTCAAAACTATTGTTTTGGAGAAGAGAATTATATACTTTTTTGTACATACTCTCAGTTTTAAATAAATTACTATTATAGGTGTACAGTTATAATAATTTTTAAAATTTCAATTATTTTACAATTATATTGACAATTGTAAAGATTTTTTTTAAGATAAAAAATCTAATAATTTTTGTTTATTTTTATAATATTCTTTTGTGTTTTATTCTGCAATACTTCTACATTTAAACTTACTTTGATCATCTATTTCTCTTTGATATTAAAAACTTTTAACATCTTAGTGTCCTTGTCATACATAAAAATGTTTCGCAGTCTTTTCTTCTTTTTTACGGTCTTTTCCTCGTAATTAATTTATTAATTTCGAATAGAAAATATAATAAACTGAGATAAATAAATTTAACGTGGAAATGTTTCACATAAAGGTATTCTCGTATAAAATAGATATTTTATTAAATTTAATATAAATGACGATGCTCAAATCGATGGATCACATTCGGAAAAACAGCCTTGAATTTTTTTTATTAAAGAGAAATTTCTTTCGATTTCTTTTCAGGTGGAAACGATAGGGGATGCTTATATGGTTGTATCGGGATTACCAGTGAGAAATGGCATGAATCACGCCAGAGAGATTGCAAGGATGAGTTTAGCTCTCAGGGATACGGTAATGACGTTCAGTATTCGCCACAGACCAAACGAGCAATTGAAGCTTCGCATTGGCATGCATTCTGGTGAGTCAACACTTTATCACATATATCTCTCCGCTTACGTAAAACGGAAGAAGATTAGTCTTAACATGATCCTAGGTTTCGTGGCAATTTTGACTCTTTCTATGGTTTTGTATACCACTTACATATACTGTTTTTCAGAATTTTTAACTTTACTTTTAGCGACAGATCAAAAGTTTGACAACAACTTGTATTATTATTTATTTTCGAGGATCAAATTTTCTTCACATTTTATTGTTCATTATTGTTTCGTAGATAGATTTCCTAGTTCTCTGTTATATATCGAGAATATTTTCAATATATTTTAAAAAACGATATTATAAATCGAAAGTTTTCACTTTTTATTACAAATTGATTTTCGTTTGCATGTAATGAAGGTTGAAGCATGAGTTGCACAGATTGATATCACACGAGTAACATGAATTAAATAAAAAACGGAGCACGATATTTTGAAATAACTTTTAGCGAAAATTTTTTCTAGAATTTATTTGTTTTTTTTATTGAAAATATTTTATGTGATTGGAACGATTGGAAATGGATTTGTTGAAAAGTCGACAATTATATCTGCCACTACGAAAGATTAAATTATTGTGTTTTTCCGATAAACAACATTTTTGCGTTTTTCAAATTTTATTTTCATTAATTTTGAAAGTCACAAGATGGTAACTTTTGAGAATTTACACTCGGAATATTACGAAACGAAAATCTCTATTTATCAGACACTATCCAAACTTTTCTGTACAATTTTTTTCAAATCGTTATCGTGCGAATATCATTTCATTTTTGAAATGCACAAACATTCTTCCAGATTGTATAAAACTTAGATTACGCTGTTCGCAAGAAGAAATAATTCTGTATGATTTACGTCAGACAGTTAGTTGGTGAAGTTAATTGCTTTTTAAATGGACTTAAAATGCAACGCTGCTTTCGTATCGCCTAGTGAATAATCATTCGAGAAAATAATTGCTCGTTAAAGTTTTCTCATGGTGAATAAATATAATAAATCTTTTCAGTATTGTTAGTGAGAACGAAAAATGGTATAAAACAACAAATTTATGTTAAATTATGTTTTTTTCCAAATTTATGTTAATGATAAAAGAAACCGAAAGATATTTTTAAATGCTATTTAAAATATATATGTTTTACAAAATCTTTTCTTCAAAGGGAATCTGAAAGATTAAATTAAACTTTGTTTATTCTAAAAAAAAGAGAATAAATAATTTATAGATAGAAAAGAGAAAAATTTTCAGATGATTTTTATACATTTATATTTCTTTTTCTAAACCACGTGTCTTGTGGCCAATCTTAAATTAATCTGATGCGATGCCAAAAGTAAAATTGGCGTAGGCGTAGTGGGTCGTACACGTGTTTGCTTACAGGACCATGTGTGGCCGGTGTGGTTGGTCTTAAGATGCCTAGATACTGCCTGTTCGGTGACACCGTCAACACAGCCTCCAGGATGGAGAGTAACGGAGAAGGTAATTAACAACTCAATCATTCTCTGAAAGGGACGCCGGGGATTGTAATAGAGAAAACGTGAAGGTACAAAGTTATAGACGTGCGCGGTAATTAAAGGGGAAAAGTAAAGGTGCGGCGACGCAAGAGAGCAAGGTCGAACGCTTAAGAGAAAATCGACTCTGGTTCAAGTGTTTCCATAGAGATCCGACCTCGTGGTTACCTCATTTTCAGCCGTAAGCGCAACCATAAGTATTGATTAGCCATAACCACATGCTAATCTTTCTGGTAGCAATTCCTGTATAATCGTTATAGTATGTCGATTTAGTTTAATATATTCGACGATTATAATTCTGAAATATAACTTGAATGATTTAGAAATTACTTTTTGATCGATATTAAGCATCGTTAATATCTCGTAGTGGTTTTTTTATTAGAAAAGAAATTGATCGATCTGCCCTAATAGCTTTTTATTAGAGGAGATCAATTCATTTTGAATATCTGCCAACGAGTCCAATAATTTCGAGTACTTTTTCAATCGGATCGGCGATAACGATTTCGATCGCTGCTTGACGAGGGGCAGCACACAACGATGAAATTGATTGCATGCTGTATCTTGTTTATCGACACGCTCATGATACATGCACGAGTGTATGGTGTATCGTTTAATGCCACGTGGGCGGTGATTCTCCCTCGCAAGGATCTCTAGGTGCCGGCGTCGAGGCAAGGACGCACCGCAAGGCGCCACGCGGCTGTTTATCGAGTTTCTTCATATAGCACGTTTTGTGTGCGTCGCGAGAATTATATCACGCACGTTAAAAAGAGTTTTCCGAGCGATAGATTGCATAACGACGCGTTTCACAATTTTTCTTTTTTTTTTGTTTTCGAGATTTTTTTTTTATTTCTTTATGCTGATCATCGAACACGCATTCAAGCACGAAACGTGAACGTGACAGTTTTTCAGGCATCGTGTATTATTGTGTTATTTACACAAACAAACGGATTATTCGATTATAACTACTAGTCTTTGTAATGCGGATTTTCGATCGATCGATTCTTTTACGTAATCGAAAGAGATTGACTGATTTTGGAATTATAAAAGATAATCGAAAAGATTGAAAAAGGACTTTCTGAGAATGAAAAACATTCAATATACCTTAATCTTATTGTTTATTTTATTTTCTTTTGAAAGAAAGTAAAAAGATTTTCAGAGATAAAGTTTTAAAAAGCAATTATAAATAATACTTTACTCTCTCTTGATTCACTTTAATCTTAATTTTAATTTGAGTTTAAATAAATCTTACTTTTTTTTTAGAATCCTAATGCAAAGTGATTTAATACCGTTTGTGTTTAACTAGTCTGGAAATTTCACTTACGCATAAATCCAGTTTAAATTAAAATTTAAAAGTAAGATTGTATGTAAAATGTATGTGATTTCTAGGATATTATGTAAATAACATATATGGAGATTTGAAATATAAAACTCTGTAAATGTTACATCTCTAGAAAATTATTTTTGTAAAATTCCCTGTTAAAGCAGAAGCCGACACAGTTTTTAAATCATCCACTTATAAGGACATTTATGAGATAAAAACACACATAATGTTTTCTTTGTATACTTTTTTCCAACTAAATAAAATATTATTCTCCTCCAGGGATTTTTAACATTTACAGTATCTCACATGTCAAATCTTCATCTAATGAATATCATCGATGTGTTAATGATTATTGATTGATTATACAGCAACATGTCTATTGTCCAAACGCAATGTATGTGAATACGCGTACTTGATCAATTATCATTCATTTACGTACTTAATCAATTATCGTTTCATCTACGTAGCGCGGAATATTTATTACGTAAAATAATTGACGTATTATATCGCATAATAGATCCGTTGTAATAAAGTTATATAACTGATTTAAAATAAAGGATTTAGTGCTATCGATCGCACAATCGCGCTATAATTTCTTTTTCCGTAGAAAACGCAATCAGGTTGCTCTAGAAACAGGGCGAGATCATACGAAAATTATACGTATATCGGATTAGCATATTTGTGATCATCCGCTCTGGCCGTTGGCTGTATCGTAATCGAACTTGCGCATCCAGTCACTGACGACGGAAGTTCCAATCAACGCGCGCATAACTTTATTATCGCTTTAAATTCCATTAAAAGTTCTCTCTGGACGAGCAGCTCGAGAAAGTACGATAGTGCGGATTTATTTACTTATAGTCTAGTTACATTGTTTACGGATCAGCTCGATTTATTTCTTATATTTTTTATACCTATTTATACCGATAATATCTTATGATTAGCAATCTTGAGATCCGAAGAAAAAATTTTCCCGATTTCTTTTATATATTATATTTGTTATATTTGTTTTTAATTTTTATGAATAACTTGAATATGTTCCTTGTTTTCAATGGAAAGGAAATTGGCAATATCAAGCTCTATCTGATTTTTCTATCTTCGTGATTTTCGATCAACTTTAATTCTATAAAAAGCGAAACTGCTGGTAACAACAGAAAGTTTTTTGGTAATCTTAATTGGTAATTTAGATATATGAAGTTTACGTGTCAAAGGACTTTAAATTTTCCCTTCTCATCTTGATGCGTCAGTTGTTCATCGATGCGTCAAAATAAATCTAGTCGTGTTTTAAGTCGTGTTTTAAAGGTCACGTCGAACCGCGAAATTAATGAAGGAGCTGTATGACAGTTATCTTCGTCATTCAGAACACAAAGTGACATTTCGTGCTTCTCCTGCTTGGATAATTATTACAAATTGCAGTTTTTTTTCGAATAATGAATAATTTATTGTGCTTTTTGGGCACTCTCGCTCAAGGGGAAAACGAGCTCCTATTTTGTTCGCGCAAATTGCTTATTTTTCGCGCATAAAATTTTTTGCGAATTTACAATATGCTTTTCTCTGCTTGAAATTTTATTGAACGTTATTCCTCGTGGAATTGGTTGAGTTTAGCGGTATGTTTGTGTGTGCTGTGAAAGGTTAATTTACATTCAGGTAAAAATTAGAAGAGAAAATCTAGAGTAAAGCATTATTATAATAATTGTTCTTAAAATCTTTATTAATTAAAGAAAAGGATCTTTCTTTTAGATCCTTCATAACTTGATATATTTTAATTCGATTTATATTAAATATTTGACATATCGATTACAAATAAAATTGATCTTAACACTAAAGAACGGCATTGAAATTAAAATAGACGTTTCTGAAACATTTTGTATTTGTAATGTCCAGTAACATAGAAAATGACCACAGAACAATTGTGTCAGCATCAAATGTACATGGAACTCGTGTCATTGTGCGCTGTGTTGAAACTACAAGGGATACAGCCGTCTACAAAGTGCACTATCATTGGAAACTATTGATTCAAAGCTTATTCGCGTTACGTGCAGTTACTTTGAAAAGCTACCTTGAACGCGAATTTTAAGCTGACGAAATTTATTTATTTTATTTATTTTTTTTTCATGCCCGCCGGTCGTCAAATTTCAGTATTTGAAGCGATCCATAGGAAAAGGGCATAGTATGGCCTTTCATCGAAATTAAATGAATCCAAATAATATTAAGTCACTGTTTTTAAAGCTTAAAATATGAGAATACTTTAAAATATGAAATTTTTAATCAGAAATATAAAATATATTATTTGAAAGAAATTAAAAAAAAATTACTCAGTATTTTGCAAAGTAATTTATCGAACTATTATCTAACGTTCTTTAATTGGCTGTTTAATAATTACTCTTTTAAGAAGCGTTCTAATTAGCGTTCTAAGAGGTTTTATAAGGGACATGCGTAAAAGAAGTTGTTTTTCTTTTGTCTTTGCGACAGCTTTAAAGATCCACGTCAGCCCGAAGACAAAGGAAATTTTGGACACTTTTGGTACATTCGAACTCGTCTGCAGAGGAGAGGTCATATTAAAGGTACGTTCTTAGTCCATATTGTGTAATTTTCCTCATTTTTTTTCAAAATTAATGTGTAGTATTATGTATCTACTTGCTCGGCTTCTTATTTCACAAATCCAACTTCTCGTTTCCTTCCTTGGGGATGAATGAGAATAAGAGGCCATGCAAGTCACAGTTAAGACGCTTTATGAGATTGTCGAATGGTTTTTCGTGTCGCAAAATCATCGAGTGGCGATGAGGATAAAAAGTGGGTGACTTTCGCGATTGGCATTTCGCGACAGAAAGATGGATATAGGTGATTATTACGATTATATCTTATCTTGCGGATCTCGCGATATACAATATTTTGCGCGAATTTTTTTCCTGTACAATTAAGCGATAGTCGAGTTTCTCAGTGGAATAAGTACGCACGATGCTCTTCATGTTTCATTAATTTAATGACGGGTATTTGTATCTTTAGAGTATATACGATGTCTTGCAATGACTCCAAGTACATTATTATTTGCTGCAACTATTTAAAATGTTTCTGTAATTAATTTTGTATTTTATAATTACAATTTATATTAATTATATTAATTATATTTCTATTAATATTTATTAATATATTTATTAATATATTTCTATAAATATTTAATAATATATTTATATTAATTATATTTCTATTTTATTTTATATATTTTTCCATCATCGAATGTTAGAGTGATAAAAATTCTTGAAGCAACATTGAAATTTTTTCATTAAGATTTTTTCTCTTTTAATATAAAATCTTTTTTTATTCTTCTAGTTATTATATTAAGTTTTAAAATTTCCCTTCAGTTTCAAACGTATAATATAAGCAATACTCTTTCAACGAGAGACTCGACTTTCTCAACTTTGGCAATCGCAATCCCTAGAGTCAGGAATTGTAAATCGCGCAATTGCAAACTATGCCCGACGCAGTTGCTCGTTTCATATATAGAAGATCTATTCACAGATGTTGTACCGTAACCGAGAGCGTTATATTCTCGCTCGATATGCATATGTCGCGTCGCTAACATTGCCTGTTGTCCGCAAATGCAATCTGTCTCCGTTTTCCCGGAAGAGAATAATTCGCATAAACGCGTAAACCGACGGCAGTCATTTCAGCAGCGCCGAAATTATTTTACCATCGTCGCGACAAAGTAAATAATACGATAAACACGTAATGGATTTTAGAAATGGGACGAATGTCAAGGTAATCATTCAACTACGTTGAATCGTACGATCTCGTTAATCCTCACGTAGACGTTAAGTTCCACTATTACGCGAGCCGAGAATTATGCGATCGGTTTATGATTACCTGGTCGTGCGACCGTGAAACGTCAAACGTCGTCATCGCTTGTCATTAGATGATCGATTAAATATATCTGCTTGAGTGCAGACGTTGATGATGACACAGGCACGAGTGAATCGTTTACCGTGCAATTCGGGTCAAAGTTCAGCGCTCGCGCATGAGAGAGAGAGAGAGAGAGAGAGAGAGAGAGAGAGAGAGAGAGAGAGAACGGATGCAGCGGAGGTATGATAATTAATTAGTAGGAGAGCGCCGGCAGGAACTTGGCTTGGCAATTCGTGCGTACATCGAGCTTGCCTGCCGAGATTAAAATTCAAGTACCACATACCATCGGACAATATACGTTGCCGCTTGTTTGAATATTCACGAACGTAACTGAGTTAAATGCATTCGCTGATCGCCATCGTGTAACAAAGCGACACAATAGTTGTATTACAGTCAACTCTATCACAAAATCATCTCAATTAAAACTTTGAAAGTGCGTAGTGATTTTACGCGCTATGATTTTTAATCTAGACTACTATAACTATAATATAATGTGATTTTAATTTAATTGTTTTATACTTTGTGTTAATAGATTTGATAGAATTAACGAGTTTTTTATATGATTTATTTTTATAATGTATAAGAGAAAAAATATATATATCGAAATAATATAAAGATAAATTGTGCAAAATATTCTCTTGGATTTTCTAATTGCACATGAAACTTGAGTAAGACCGGATCGATTTTAACTCTCGAAATAACCCCTCGTTTTTGCCAACATCCGCAGGGTAAAGGTCCCATGACTACTTATTGGCTGATGGGCGAAAAACCGACGAATAACAATGTGCAACAGGCGAATCCCACAACGACATTCAGCCAGATATCGACTCTGCAAGATCAATCTCCTGCCGGTACCGCTCAAATTCAGATGACGCAGCCGAAGCAACTGGAGCAACGCCCGCTTCCACCCACTGGCCAGCACAAATTTCAAGGCCAGTCGGATCAGCAGTACTCAGCTCAACAGCAACAATCGATTCAATCGAGGAGTCAGGAGCCTCGACAGCAGGGGCATCTGGGTCAACAGAGGCCACAAGAATCACAGCACCCGGGTTTAACGGGTCAACCGCGAGGCCAAGGCTCGACTCAGACCAATCTATCGTCCGTTGCTCCGAATCAGCTTCAGCCGAAAACCGCAATAGCCATGAATCCCACTTGTGGTCTCGCCATGACTGGGAATGGTGCGCCGAAATCGACGATAGCGTCGCGGACTGTCGTCGGCAACTCCTCGCCGTCTCGCAACCGGTCGAGTGGCTCATCCAACGCGAACAACTCCGTGCACCAAGTCTATCCAACGGCCGAGAATATGCCCAATCACACTGAAAGCGGCCCCAACGCACCGCTTCTTTTACCCGCGGGCGCGATTCCCAGGGTCTAGCTCTCTTAAAGTGTTCTCCGCTGGCGGCATTCGCTTTATCAGTTACCGAATCTTCAAAGGATACCGCGAGCTTGGAATCGATACTTGGATACATCGATCGGAATTTTGTTTGATCCGTTACTCGTGAGAAAGAATTAGACGAAAGCAACAGACTTATAAGAGGAAGGAAAATGAAGAATTTTTAATGCTGTCAAAACTCAGCTTCTACGATTCAAGAATTAGATCTCTTCGAGACAACAATTATCTCATTCAATCAGGTTTATTATGCATTTCTCTTGCGTAATTAATTTTGTAGCTTTCTGAGAAATATTTGTTGAATCGCAATTGTAGTTAATCAATTGGTAGACATTTTTTTTGACACATTATTCACACTCTTAATGATAGATGTAGCTGACAAGGCGAGGCTCTACAGAGTCAAGGACCAACTCCAAATTCGCAGAAAGTGATCTCTTTCTACAAGGTATTATGGAACCAAAGTTTACCGATAACAATTAGCGCAATTTAGAACAAATATGAATATTGCGATGATTATCATATCGCATGTAAGAATGGATAGCGAACTCAGATTTAAGCAGAAAAAACCTGAAGAAGGAGCAATTAATTATAGAGGGATACATGATCGATGATATGCTCTTGCCGAAAGTACTTATGGTCTCTTGCATATGAACACAGTATTATTACCGATCACGTATGCTTTTTATTTATTCAAACTAAAACATTCGACGATTCATATGCAATGACACATAAAATGCAATGCGCTTAATTTAGCGGCAAATTTCTCGTGTTAGCCGCGATTGATCCCCGCCGAAAATCCTATACATGGAATTAAATAAAGAACCACGGATATGCACAATTTTAAATTCTCTTTTTGAAGGATTTCAAGAAACTTATTTTATCAATTTCGAATTTCAATTAACGCGATTATTTAAATTTAATTTCTAATTTCATGATTATTTAAATTTTTTTATTGATATTATTAAATTATTTAGAATGGGACAGAGAAATAATTGGACCGAAGTTATAATTTATTAACATTGGTGTAGTTGACTTAAGATTAATCATAAAAAAATGAATTTTTTCGATCTTATTTATATATATATATATACTTTTTATAAAAATATTTGTGCGAAAGCTCTTCTCTCAATATATTTTTTCAATTTTTTTCTATTGACATATTTTTTCTCTTTTTCGGAATTTATCTGCGAACAAATATCACAAGGCATCTAGATCAGCCACAGTGTGTTTGTCGTTGCATGCGCAATATAACAAATATACCGCTCGTAATGCGCATGTACTTACAGAGCGCAATATACGACACAGAGAATTTATTACATACACACATACAAAAACATACACACACACACAAACACACACATATTCAAAATGTTATACATAAATATATAAAAGAGAGAAAAAGAGATATATATGTATACACACACAGATACATGTATATGTTACGAGATTAGATTATATATATATTATAGATGTATATGGCTGCAAGAAAGCAAAAAGTTACCAGTAGCAAACATCGATGTTTAGAGCCGCTCGTAACGAACGGAGGCTGGGCCTCTCGCGAAACGAGTCTATGAAACGTGTCTGAAATATAATAGCGAGAGTGCGAGTGCATATATCTGCGACACGAATACACACATACAAACATCCGTACATATAGGAGAGCAGGTATATGCACATGCGGTCGCAGTTGTACACATGTGTTTAATGTATGGACAAACGGTGCAGGTGGTTGATGATTTTTCGTGGTTTTGCTGTTGTAAACATGGTATGCGACGATGCGACGAAAGAGAAAGGGAGAGAATACACACTCGCATTCGCGAGTATGAGGCATCGTGAAGAGTGAAATTCTATCTGTGTCAATCTCTCTTTTAACGATGTACCAATGAATATTCCGAAAATAAAGTTTAATCGTTTTCAAAAAAACTGTCTGATTAGCTCGGCGTGTCCCCTCCGTGTAACTTATTAACGCCGCACACGTTTTTACTTTATTCTGCATTGTAATAAAAGGAAAATTGTTTTAGTAGACAGTTTTTATTGGACACGTCATACATAAAAGTGCGATAAAAATCTTTAGATATATGTATAAAAAGATAGAAAAATCTTTGGTACATATGAAAGATCGGCGGGAAAGGGGAGTGAACGGGAGCGGGTTTCAAAATATAACGTTCAAAATACGGCGTTCGCGAATATCCAATCGAGGTAAGAGCTCACGCGGGTGTATATCCCCGGGAATCCAGGTTCACCGCAACGGATTCCCCAGGATACTATTCCGATGGTGACCCACCTGCCGTTGCCAAGTTGATGTAGCAATGGACCGCCTGAATCACCCTGAAAGAAGAGACTTATTGGACACCGGGGTAATGTATTATGTATAGATCTATTTTTTAAAACGCGTATCCATCTTATAAGCCGTCTTGAAATATTAACGGATCCTCTTTCCCTTCGGAGATAGGGTGGCATTAAGGATAAAGACTTTCAGATTAATGCGCATTTTAACATTTCATCGCACGTCTGCCACTTTGTTTGTAGTGAATAAATCATTGCCTTACTTGACAGGCGTCGCGACCACCCTCGTAAGCGCCGGCGCACAGGGTACTATTCGGGATGCGTTGCGTAAAGCTGCGAACGCATCTTTCCTGAGGCCACACCGGCACTGCGGCCTCCATTAGTACTGTACTGGTAGGTCCTCCGTAATATTGCGTACCCCATCCTAATATAAACATTTTCTCAGCAAAAGTTACAAACATAATCTATACATTTAACTTTTTTTTACGTATCGTATTATTTATACAAAATAAATTGTGAATAATATAAAAAAAAAGGGATGATTCCTCCTTGTGTAAAAATAGATCGAAAATGCAGAAGAAAATTTTTTTGTAGATTCTGTTTTTGAAAAAATCAAAAAATTTTATTTTATTTTCGACTTATCTTTGCACGAGAAATGATCTCCTCCTCGATTATATCATGTTACATTTTCTGATCTTGTATAATAGCAGAGATAAAATAAGAGAAATGATTTTACGGGAAGTTTGCAGCTACGATTAAAATAAATATCCACAGAGTGCAAAAAATAAATAATAGAGTGAGTAAGCTCTTCATCTAATGTAATATTATTTAAAAAATAACAAATCTGTTATAGAATTATAATAATTTGTCTTTTAACAAATTTGTAAAAAGAATCTGAAGAAAAATCAATAAAGTTTAGCGCATATAATTTTTTTCGTTTAAAAAATAATATATATTTATGAAATTTCCGACCTGTGACGATGGCGTTCTTATTCTCGAACGATTGTTGAACCGGCGGGAGGCAGATAGGCCAGATGTAGCTATTAAATGTTGTGGGTCGATTGATTTTAATAATGGCAATGTCGTTCTCGTAAGTGGTTAACTTGAAATCCCTATGTATTCGTATTTCCGAAACCATGAAATCCAATGCACGCGTTTCATCGGATTTGGTAAAATCGTACTCGCCGAGTCTCACCGTGATGTCACGCGGTTTGTACCTGAACAAAACAATGCACACGCGGTATAACTGTAATTCGCGTAACTGTTCATTTCATGGTTACGACAAACGGATGTCGTGCGTATATATCACACGTTACAGTCTCGGAACAAAAGGTACATAAGTGTGCCGACACGCTAAGAACATTATAAAGTCTAAGCGCGATCACCGTCAAACACCGGGGCCGCGAGAATATGAATGTCTTGAGCTTGAAATATCGTCCAGATTATAATCATATTATTAAACTTTAAGATGTACGAAAATATAAATGTCAACAAAAGTTTCATTTTTTAGTTTCAATTTTATCACAATATTTTTTTTCAGAATTATAATTTATAAATTAAACTAAAGAGTGGCTCCTATATAAATTAATAATAAATAAACGAGCTTAAAGAAGCAAATATTAAGAACATTAAAGTTAAAAACAAAGTTTACAAAACTAAATTTAATATGTAGAAAAAGCAATAATGACACAATAGATCGCTGTTAATATTATAATTTAAGTTGTAGAATCATAATACACAACCTCGCAACACAATTGATATCTCAAATTAAAAATCTTCAAATATGATATCATCATAAATTAAAAACCTTCAAAAAAACGTCAAACTTTCAAATAAATCTGAGATGATATCAATTGTGTTGCGAGGTTGTGTATTATGATTTAACACTACAACTTAAATTATATAATATTAACAGCGATCTATTGTGTCATTATTGCTTTTTCTACATATTAAATTTAGTTTTGTAAACTTTGTCTTTAACTTTAATGTTCTTAATATTTGCTCCTTTAAGCCCGTTTATTTATTAATTATTAATAATTTATAAATTTTATATACTCCTGGGCAAAATGAACGCATAATTTTTTTTTCACTTTTTCTTTAAAATTTTTTGTTAAAATTTAAATATCAGTTTAAAAAAAAAAATGAAAAAAAATTATGCGTTAATTTTGTCCAGGAGTATACATAGAAAGAAAAAAATATTCAAATAGCATAAAATATTTAATATTTTATGACACAATGCGCGCGCTTAAATAATGGCATTTATTAAAAATTGAAAGAAATTTTACACTCACATACACACATTTCACACTTTCAAGTTGAAGTAACATTAAACTTTTTTTTCGAAATTCGTTCGGTTTTGCGTTGCAAGGGATTACACGATATTACAAGTAGTTTACCTGTAAACACAATGCGCCGCGGTAAGAACATGCCTATCGGTGATCAATACACCCCCGCAATACTGAATCGCGCCTTGTCGGAGAAGAGCCGCCATCCACGGCCATTCTTTAGGATCAGCCGGCTGGCCACCCGCGATTCTGATCTTCGTTTTTGTGGTCGTGCCACAACCTCTGGGTCTTCGCGATTTCCTCATCGCTTCCTTAATATCGGACAAAGTCGCGTTATTCCGCGAAATTGCATCCTTGTCGTCAGTGGATGGCTCATTCTCGTTCTCGTCCCATTCCTCCTTGTCATCGTCAAGATCTACGGGAAAAATGAAAAATTTGAAGAATATACGTTTCTTGCGTACGTCACTCACGTACGCAAACATGCGGATGTCGTGAGCATTGACAAGTGTGCGTTTGATAGGCAATGTTTATGCCTATCACAACCGCCTATGTTAACCGAAAAGGTATACGTGTGTTACGCTTCCATCAAAATACATTAGATGTTAATCGATAAAGGCATCTCTTACAGGTAAATATTGCGCGAAATCAATCCTGTGATTCTGTTATTCAATTTACAGAAAATTTTTCGTCATTGCAGTATACGTGAGAAGAGAATCTTTATAAAAATTTTCCACAAAATTACAATAAATAAATGGTAGTATCAATAATTGATTTGTAATTGTGGATTTATTGTAATTATACGAACTTGCAATCGCTGGTAACACGCTGGCTAAATCATCGTCGAAGGTTTTATCCGATCGAGTTGTCACGATGCTATCCGGACAACACACACCGATGTATCTGCGACGAAGAAAACATTAATATGGAAATGATCGCTGCATAAAGTACAATATTAGCTTACGTTTGCTCAATTATGCACATATAATCCATAAATCGCTCAAAGTTCAAGCGGAATTGCTCAAGGACGCATCCGCTAAAATGTTTGCAGTGACCCGGCTGATTGCCCGGCGCGATACAAGCTTGATGCGTTTTCTATGAAAACATTAATTACTATTATTTATTAAATATCTTTTTTTTTCATCATATTCTGAATTTATAAATAACACCATGATAACATACTTGTTTGCTTAAAGTTCCGGGACCCAGATTGATAAATCGTTTGCCGCGAAAGTACGGATGCGAAATGTTTTCTGGAAATCGGAATAGGTTTTGATGCAGAGGATGTTCCCATTCTCGGTTCCTTACTATCGTTAGATCTGAGAAATATGGGATGCATTATATGCAAATATCGATGAACTCGTTTGCGTTATCGCATGCTATGTTTATACGTGTAAATACATATATAAGTACGTGTATTTGATACACAATGAAATTTAATGAGGACCATCGAGGATAGAGCGTCCGGGAGATATATTATCAGCATAACACGATTCGGTTATTTCCGTTGAAAAAAAAAATATCTTCTGAAATTTTCGAGACGTAAAATGAGTCTCGATTTGTCACCTATTTAATCGCGATTCACAATAGATGTTAATTATTATGCTTATTTACATTTAATGCATTTCTGAAAAATATTGCGGTCAAAGTGCGTGTATTATTTGCTAATTTTATAAATATTTAATTTTTATGAATGCACAGATATTAGTGTATTTTATAATTTATAAAAAAATACTGATATATTTATCTTTTGCACAAGTTGATTTTATAAACTTTATATATATATTTCTCTCTTTACTTTAATAAACATCTAAATCTTTTTATGTTCTCTTTTTATGTTATTAAAAACAGAGTATTTTTACTGATTGCTACATTACTACTTATATATTTATATTATACAAGAGATACGGCTTAAAGTAATTTAAAGTTTAAGCTTGAAAGTGAAATTTATTCGCAATGTTTTAATTTGCATTACAAAGCAAGAATAAGATTTCATTTAATATACAATAATGCTTACCTGTAGCATTTTTGAAATCGGTGGGAAGGCATCGGTAACATTGAAGGATGCACAATAAAGAGAGTAGCACAAATTGATAGACATTAGTAAACGTCTGCATTTAAATTAATGTCGATGTCGGCTTTTCTTGAATGACAACAGCAGGAGCGCGACGGTGGCTTTTTAGACAGCCTCGACTAGAGAACGGACAATGACTTTGACATGCGGAAAGCCGCCACTTATATACACACTCGCCTGCGACATATGGAACCCAGCAAACGTTTCCTCAAGTTGGATGCCTTCCATTAGGCGTTCGAAAACTTGAAGATTACAAGACAAGGAAAACTGATAATATTACTATCATTATATCTTTACTGTTATTATACAGGCCGTAATAGATTAATTATTTAATTTGCACTCGAACATACCTAACATATTTACAGAAAAATAATTTTTAGGAATTTATTGGGATAAAAGAGGAAAGAGAGAAGAGAGAGAGAAAATAAAATCGAAAATTTTAATAAAATGCCTCTTAAATTGAAAAAGTGGATGTTTAATTAAAATTTATTTGCAATTATTTCTCACTCGTTTCAACATTCATTCTGTCAAATTATTAGAAGTGCTTTGTGCCGTTCTATCGATTCGACACACATCGTTTTTATGTGGCTCCGATCATTCAATAAACCCATCACGTTAATACGGCCTAATTGCCACAAAGAGTAAGGTCGCGGATCAGAAGTTATTTCAAGGAAGAGTGGAGGTCGGGGAAGAAATTACGCACGACCTATCTGAACAAAGATTAATTCATGCGAATATGCCGACGCATATACTTGTCGAAGCGACGGAGTAATGGACGACCGGTAACTCGAGAAATATTCGATTCCGTTTGACGTTTCATTAAACGCTCAATAACGTAAACCCCGCGCTGCTGCAGGATCTCGAGAGGCGGAGAAGAAAGATGGAATCCAAAGAATACGATGAAAGGAGCGCGATGAACGAGTCGTGGATAAATGCACGAGAGGACGCAAACGAAATAAGAATGCTCCAAAAAAAAGACGAAGCTTTTTCTTTCTCTCTCTGTCGAGAAACCAACAGATAAAATTCAGTTATCTTCTGTCTTCGTTTCTACATACTCGAGAAAATGGACATCACCCACATACATGTCTAGGCCATTGACTTTGTCGAGTCGCGCGCATACACGCACAAAGTGCATTCATCTATGAGAGATGCACCTGCATGAAAAGTGGGGATTTTTTTGGGATATTTAGGTGACCGAGATGCAATATTCGCTGAATAAGCAATGAATTTCACAGCGAATAATTGTTGCTCTTAATTTTCGTTATTATTTCGCTTTTGTATTGTGTATGCAGTATCCCTTTAGGCTACATAGAATTTAAATAAACATGTCTAATATGGCATTAAATGACAGATATGGGTTTATCGGTTATTTCAAAACTTTTTAAGAACGGTCGAACGGAATAGAAGACTGCGATTGAGAAACGCAAAGTCCAATTTATTTTACGCAATATTTTGCGTCCAGTGTGTTGGCTATCTATTTATGCACGCATCATTAATCGTTTTGAATGAGATGAAATCGACTGTGCTGATAACGGGTCCCGCTTGTCTCTTACAGCTTTTCTGTTTTGGAAATCCGAAAAGTTCGCGAATTTTTTGTGCAACAAATATAAATGAGAAATGTAGAGAAAAATTTAGGAACTGCGAAACAAGAAATATATATATAGATTAGTCTTTAATCTTTATAAAATCAAATAATCTCGTTTTTTTAAAACACAAAATGTGCTAGATTTCTCTTTTATGACAATTATTTACGACTTGAACGAAGCGTCTCGTGAAAGAGGAGAATACGGTTAAATCCGCGATGCTTTGAGAGAAGCGACATCCTCGTACTAGGATGATGTAGTATTTTGTAAAAAAGTTTTTAAATGCTCAAAAGCCACGCACGTTCTCTACGCTCATTTTCTAACATTACACATTCGGTGTGTAGCTGTACAAAAGACACGCTCGACATTGAATCCTTCGAGTGTTTGCGAGTGTTTGCCGCGGGCATTTGCTGCATTGTAAGTTTAACAGTAAATCTGTCATGCCACTCATCGCTCGCGTTCCAGAATCCGTCTTCAGCGCTGCATCAAGGAGGATGTCATCTCTCAGATATAGTTCTTTGTAGTCTCAAGAAACTTGGCGTTTTTACGAGGCTTTGCGTGCAACCGAAATTGACTCGACGCAATTTTACAAGGGAACAAGAACGTTGCAAATTTTTAAAAAAATTCTTTAAATAACGAGACAGAATTCAATATTTTTGTAAAAAAAAAGGATGTGTGTACGATAAAGAATTGAAGGTGGGAAGAGAGATGTTCGAGTATCAAAGTTGGACGCCACGGTAAGAAATTGTCATCACCCACATGCGCGGCACGTCTCACCGCGAAATCTTCCGTAGACTTGCTTTGCTATACAAGATCGAGAGCACAGATCTCCATCCTGATTCGTTTGTGAGTAAGATTAATTTGACGTCGTATCGGCAAGCCTTTCGCATTTACGATTTTGAACGATGATGGATGTGCATAAAGTGATGCTTGCGATATGTGATTACTTCTGAGAAGATTTTTAGAACTTGATTTATTCTCGTTCTACTACTTTCACCGCGCATGTCATTATCTTTTGATATATCGTCTTTGTGATTTCGTGAAAATGTAAGTGGATGTAATAAAGAGAAGTTAAGTTATTGATTTCTACAAACAAAGAATGTGTTATCCAACTATGACTGCCAAAGACAGGTGACGATGGATACGTTTAAAATAATATACAAGGGACTTAACGCAACCTAATTTCTCGGCGTCACATATCAATTTTACGATCTTCCTTCGAAGATATTCGATCGTAAGATACCTTTACCTCGATAGTTACCGTAATAAGAAGTGAGAGACGCAAACTGCGCACATACTTCTAGAGGAAAGTGACGAAGGAAGAAGAGAAGGAGAGAAAGACCAGCTAAGAGAGAAACAGAACGAAATCCGGAGAGATGGTGATTGGGGGCAAACCCGGGGCATTACCATTTAAGGTACCTCGTATATATTCCTTTTTTGCTCCGCGTGTCACTTTGGCACGCATAATCGTGTAACACTTTGCGCGTCGTTATCTACCTGTGTTAAAGGTGCCTCTTCTACGTGATACATTTTTATTTTTTTCGTGTTTGGATGGAAGAGAGAAAAGATACAATCTAGGGTCAAATAACAAAGTAGACAGGGTTAATAAGTAAAGCTTCGTTAATAACTCGTCGTTTTATTATGCATGATATTTGTAGAAGCGGTCGATAAAATTTAAACTTTAGCCACTTTAAAATATGATTTGTCTTAGAATATATATTTCAATAATCAACTTTTTTAAATTATATATTACGCATGATAATGAGAAGATAAAAAGAGAGGATACATTTCTTTCATCTCGTTTGATTACACCCTTTTTAAGCTAGGTATTCCAAGGGATTGTTATCAACAAATCAATCTACAAATAGAAGAATCGACGATATTTCCAATCTTGCAAATGTGAGATATCTAAAAAAAAAAATTGGAATATAAAAGGTCGACAGCGTTTCATTGCAATTCCATTCAACGCTTTAAAGAGCAAGAATCATTTTAACACCAGGCAATAGAAGTAAAACCTTTTTTCGCAATCTCGATATAAAATCGGCAATTATCTTATACCTCGGCAGATTTAATTCCGACATTGGCAATTATGAGATCGCGTGGACGCTCTGCTTTCTTCAGATGGATTTTAGATACGATTCTCGTTGGAATTTCAATAAACGTATCAATACATGTTAACGGGACACGTTCGCAGCATGTAAGAACCGAATACAACAGTCAGCATTCTATGGGATAAACGAAAGGATCGATTTTTAATTACGATTGCTTCGACGCTCATGCGACTGTAGTTAAAGAAAACTTAGGTTCGTTTTATTGCACGCTCGAACTCTGGCAAAAGAAATTGTTCGCGAGGTACGAGGAAGTTTTTTCACTTCAATACATCGCAGTGCTCTCTAATTGTAGTGTTGTACATGGAACGTAATGCAATTAGTTAATGCAATTAATATATAAAACATGTTATGTATGTTAATTAATTTTTTATGAAAAGGTATCGCTGACCATTCGTTTTTTATTTTCGTCTTTGAATGAGTTACAATTTGAACATGGCAGATACGCTTATCCGTCAGGTTGTAGTCAATATTGATTTACGCGAAATACAAAGTATCACTATGAAAGCGCGAATTATTATAGCAAATAGAGATAATATTTAGTTACTTTTGTACGGCAAATAGAGATAATGCTTATAAAAACCGTAGTCCCACAGAGTTATATACAAAGGACATTTGAAAAGTATATTATGAAAGATCGGAAATTGTGTTATATTTTGATTACGTGACAAAAAGATGATTGGGGAGTTCTTAGGAACCACCATCTTTTGGAAGATCAAAGAGAAGAATGTGCTAAAGAAGAAATATAATAAACAAGAGCAAAGCATTAACGAGATTTGGGCCCCTATCTCTCACGTCGCCCTTTCGATTCTCTGGACCTAACTAAGCGCTAACTTAGCTAAAACCGATGGCTAACAACGAGAAAGATTGTGTTTTAGGTTTTTTTACGAAATGTTGTCACGTATTCGAATCAATAATCATTACAATTGCTTATAATCGCTCAACTTTAATTAGAGATAGCTTAAAAGAAGGTGATCCAAATAGCTGTTAAATGAAGGATTAAATAAAATTTGTAATATCTCTTATTAATTGCCAAGAAATATAAAAATAATCAAATTTATTCAAGGAAAATTAAACTTGTAATAATTCAATTTTCTTCTCGAGAAGTCTCTACAAATAATTAAAAATGCAAGGAGTAAATATAATTCAAGTTTGCAAGAGATTAAATATAATTCGAATATAATTAATCTAATTTTGAAGTTTGAAGAGAAAAAACGGTTGCTTGGTTGATTGCCCATATTCATTCTGGATCTACATTTACATGTCGGATTGAAAATTTTAATAGACTCGCTTTTAATAAACTCGTTTATAGCCGCGGGTTCTTTTCGTTTATAAATTTCATCTGGGAACGAAATGAAGCTCGCAAGAAGTACGGCACGAGAGAAAAACTAGGCGCGCGTTGTGCAAGTAAAAATATCGCTTAAATGTGGAATA